CTGAAATCTACTCTGTAGGCGGTATGCATAATAATCACACTGGGACAGTGTCTTGTCATTCCAAAGATTATCATCATCATCATCATCACAGCTTATGTCCGGATGCCATCCATCCTCTCCATAAGGAAATAAATTGGGTATTGTAAAGCCATTAATGATGGATGATAATAATTAATTCTCTCCAATTCAGAACTCTTATACTGAACAATAATATCTGGCTCAAATGTATCTTGCCCTGTTTCATCAACAATCAAGGCTGCTATGTCATTCCCCGTCGGTAAATCATATTCTCTCCCATCATGAGCACGCTTGGCAATTAATTTGATCTTCACCTCTTTCACATTGCCTTCCTGTATCTTTTGCCTAGCCATCCGAAAGGTTTGAACCAGAACATTGTTTCTATCAAACATTTCTTGCAATCGTTTCAACAATATCTGATCGCAATGAACTGGAGGCATCATCAACTGGAAATAGATGCAAACGACTCTGTAGTTCAGAACTTGAGTCATGAATGTATAATTGGGCAAACCTCGGTGGCTGACCGTCTGGGGGTAATAAGCTGCCTATAGAGTGATAAATTTGTCCTCCTATAGAGTACACATACACCCCTCGACCATCATTTATACCACGATCCACTTTCCCGCCCAGGGAGATAAAGCAAAACACAGCATTGTATCTACGAATGGCTTCCCGGAAATGACGGCTCATAGGTGTAGAAGAATGTAACAATTCATTCAAAAACTCTGGTGGAGCACGTCTAGGGGGTAGTTTTACCTTTCCAGCCTTGCAACACAATGAGAAAGTGGGGTTAACACGACTCCTAGTAGGAACCGTACTTTCTTGCACCCACATAATTGCTGCACAGTATTGACAAATGCTTGTAGGCTCGCCCAGACTAAAAAGTTCCACAACAGGATATCCTACAATCAAAGTAGTCACATAAGATAACTCACACATGATGAATACGCATTTACAATGTACAAACATAAAATATGATGCCACAAACCATGAGAACGGGAGAACCCCCTCGGTACAGCATTAACCATCCGCCTTTTGTACAAATGACTCGCTCGCATTAAACGTGCCCTTTTTGTCCGAAGGTGGGAGATACATTAACTATAATCTGTGGTAACAAAGTTAATTATGCATGAACTAAATCCATTAGGACGACATGGAATCCTGCTCCGTGACATATACAACGCAATGCACATATGGACTATGGTATGCATATGCAAAATAGTCTAGAACACACCTTACAAAATAAAGAAACGCATTTAAAAGATACTAAGCTTACCATGTGGAATATATTCAACAGTACGTCGCAAGCGCGCATTCAAGATCTCCCGTCGTCGTTTTCGATAGGATTGAGCTATCAAGCGATCAATATGCTCAACTTGTGATTGAAGGGTGAGTATTTCTGCAATTGAAATATACAAATCAAATTATCCTGATTTTGTGCCAAAGTAAACTTTAATTTAATGTACCAACAAATGAATCGCGGAACTACGTTGATTAAGACGATCCCTTTCAGCAGCGGTTTGTTGATTGGAAGGAGGTTTTGGCGGGTTGAATATAGCTCGCATGAACCCTGCAAAATACGACAGAATTAAGGCAGCGGGTATATGTTGTGTCCATTTTGAATACGTACAATAACAGTGGAACATGGAAAAAACCAAAGAAATCAAATTACATTTGCCCTTTGAATTCCGACGGTTGGGAGCACTGGTTTGCACTGAAGAGCTTCCACCAGGTTGTTGATTTCCGGACATTATCTTGATTGCAATCACACTTAAGCATGAACCAGCAAGCTCTAATTGATCAAAAATAAAGGTTTACTTAGCGGTTTGTTGATTGGAAGGAGGTTTTGGCGGGTTGAATATAGCTCGCATGAACCCTGCAAAATACGCCAGGAGGAGTTGGGGAATTCAATTGGAGGAGTAGCAACTCCCACCGCCCACGCGTCCCTCACAATTGCATATGTAGTCTTGAAGTGCAGGGCTTGAGACTGAAATCGATATGGAGAAAGAAATTAACACGGCATGGACTGCCACGGCAGCTGAATATGGGTTCCGAGAGATTTCGATGGAAGCATTTCACCAGCAGTCTTTGGGCCGACTACGTCAAGGGGGAAGAGTTTGGGCCGGATACTTCAGGGGGCAACAGCCCGGTCCGACTATATAATAAACTGGCCCGGTCCACCGGCAGAATGTGTTGGAGGTGAAACGCACAGTTTTATTTAAATGTGAATTGACTAAAGTGCCCTTCCGACAAACCCTCTGCGGGCTGGAAATTTGAATCCCTGCAAACTAAACACTTGTTTTGGCTTCATATATCTTATAGATATATAGTTTGTTACTACACCTCTAGTTATGTATGGGCGGTGTTTCGCTAGGTGGGTTATAATCTATCTCTACTTCCTGATGTTGCTGCTGTTGTCGTCCTTCCTCGTCGTTGTGGGAATCTTCTATGAGTTCGACATTGGGATTATTGGACTTCTCGGACTCTATCATCGATGTCAATGCTCGCCTTGTGTATGATAACCCCTCCTACGCAACAGTTACAAACGCACAACTTGTTATAATTAACTACTAAATCACCAATATTCACACTCTTAGATTATTCATACCCAATTAGCTAGCTTAATTCCTTTGATGAAGTCTCTCCCTTAGCCTTTTAGTTCCCATCAATTCCAGTAAGAGTAACGAGGTGGCGTTTCTTAGCATTTAGGTTTATTGATATGATCGATTCAACCTAAAGGAAGAAGCTAGGCATCAAATGTGTACTGTTTTTACCTCAACAATTGTCGACTTAAGATGGTCCAAAACGAAACCAGATTCAACCATCCCGCCATTACCTGCATGCATGTTCCATACATCTCTTAGTAAACTACGAGTACTTGGTGATGCCATTCGAGCTACAATAATATATAAAGAAAATGCCAACTCGTCATAATAATTAAGTTAAATTCTCTCGTTTCTGTCTTAGTTATTAGAAAGATACATATCCCAAAAAAAAAAAAAATTATCATGAAACAAAATTTGCCTTTCATATACATTACATAAAGAACTGATCAATATCCTCATCAAGAACTCAAACAACAGCTATAACATGCATTTTTGCTAATTGTGAGAAGGTGTGCGCATTCTAGGAAGAGAATAGTCCAGCTGCTGGTGATCCAACCCAGGATGTACAACAGTGCGCCCCTTATCATCCGCCTTTGCTGGATTTCCACGGCCTAATAATGACTTACCAACATCCTTCGCACCTTCATCTTCCATCGCCATTATTACACCACTCTTGCCTTCTGCTTGAACTGGTGAACTCGCCACGTTGTCCTTCTGATGATTCTGCATGAAGGGCAAAACACCATCTTAAACTCCAAGTACTTATCTGAACACAGAACAATTAGGCCCGCAGGAGCCAGAATACGAACCTTGTTGAAGACTACTACGCCGAAATGGCGAGCTTCGGTTGCATGGATGGAGAGGCACGACAAGATCAGTAGCGTGGTGATGATGATGCTCGAGAACAACAATCTTGTGGGCTTGAAATACATGACTGGTTTTATGAAGATCGATGGATGGTTTGATCAGGTTGAACCGGATCAAGGAAGAGGAGATGATGAGAAGTTCTATAGAGAGAGAGGGAGAGCAATTAGCTATGAGGTGGTGGATCTTTATATACTCATTCTTATTATAAGCTATAGGTAGCTCTAGCTGACTGGCATTCACTATATAAGAAATTGGGAGAGATGTATGTGCACTCGTATCTAGGTGGGGAATTAAAGGAGATCTCAATACAAGGACAATATTTGTGCCTGTGATCGAGGAAACCATTTAGGGATGGCAATTGAATCCATGGATCGAATTCACGGGTACCCAATCTGGTTAAACTGGGTAAAACTCAATGTTAGCGGTTTTTTGAGTCGGGTACGTTTTTAAAATTGGTGGGCTCGAAACACTTGGATAAAGTAAGTAGGTTTCCATCCGACCCAGACCCATAAAAACAAAATGCCGTCATTTTGAATCTAACCTGAATAATGTGAAAACTTTTGGATGTTGTATTTACAGGAATTTTTTTGATAATGGGTGTTCAAAGAAATATGTATGATTATATTCGTGAACTCATGAATACTCGTAAGATTGAATTGGATTTTCACTTCTAAAATCCAATCGATATTTTACTATTTTTTTAATGAGTGCACTCGCCTGAATCAGATTTTGTGGGGACTTAAAGAAAGTCGAACCAAACCAACCCATTTTCATCCCTAGAAAACAAGAATTCTAGCATGCGCGCCTTTAAACAACTTTCTTGAGTTGCGTTTCTGGTTAACTAACGCAGTTGACAATGGGGGGACACATTGAAATAAACAAACTATATAGTAATTTCAGGAAGCGAAAAGGTAAACACAAGTCAAAAAAGAGATCGAAGAGTCGGTAGAGGAAAGCCAAAAAGGAAAAAAGCTCAGAAACAAACAATGGCTGGCTTGACCGGCCCCATGCACATTCCACGTACGCCAACGTGAAAATGGGTAAAAGGTAAAAAAAAAAAAAAACAACGTACGAGTTTGTATATATTTGACAGAGGGCGCAGGAGAACGACAGGAAGCCTTGGGATGGGCGCTGATCACCAACAAACCGAACCCAACCTATGTTGTCTGAAATCACCCCTGCAATTTCGGTCCGCCCGCCCGCCGTTGTTCCCGGTGTCCCGGTTACTGCGCATTAATCCCCCCTTTTTCACCTTTTTAACTCCTAGTTTTAACCACTGTCTATCACAAACCCAAATGCGTAGAACATGGTAAAAGCCATCATCTTCACCCCATGGTCCGTGTAGACCACCATCTCATGTGCATTTGAACCAAATCTGTGGTTATTAGAAGCGGGAATGATAACCAAATCGACTAGGGTGAAACAGATATCTCAGACTCCTAAAACACATTTCATCTCGAGCACAGACGAACTTGGACTTCTTGACTCCAAAATACGAACGACAATAGGCCGACCAATTCACGAACAATACGAGAAATGAGACCATCACTTTATCGTCAAGTCAGATTGAACACCACAGGTCGAAAACGCACCAGGACTAGGCAGGACTGAGGGAAATGAAAGGAAAGGAAAATTCTTAGACTGGCCAAAACATTCGAATCAAACAAGCCAGGTCCAAATTACCAAACCAGATGCCCGCATACAAGATTTGAAAACGGCCAATTGCGCGACACATTCATCGACAAGAGAGATAAAAGAAAAACAGGATTCCATTAGACCATATCTTGCAAGTACTATAGAATAACATCAAGAACCTGCCCTGCTTCCAACTGGCCATGAAAGGAAAGCTCCGAAGTGACAGCCGAAGCACACCACAAGGGCGCGCAGAGGGCTCGTATCGAAACACCAAGAGACAGTGAGAGGGGCCAGAAAAGGGCCACCTGTGTTGTGTTCCCCCTGATGCTTATTATTGCCTCCCAAATGGTCATTTACTTCGGTCCTTTATGATTTTCTTGCTCCCTATTCAACAGAAGCAATGTAGTAACAGACACAAACTCGCTTCTCTATTGAGATACACAAGACCTATATACACCGCCAGGCATTTGGGTATATGAAGGAAGGCAATTGAAGAGAAAAACCAAAAAGAAGTGATTGTAGTAATCAGAAACTGAAAAGCTTTCTTTTTTCTAACGCCCTGAGCTCAGCTGAACTCGCGCGAACCTGTCGCTTTGCCTCGGTAAGTAATACTACAAAAAGGAGGACAGGTTCTTTGCTCACTCTGCACTTAGAAGATTGCTCCGTCCCCAACATGCCATTGTCGTAAGATCTCACATTTGAAGAAGATTATTCACAGTAACAGCAACCGAGTTTGTTCGCTGTAAGTCCTGCAAAGAAAAGGCACCATACTCATTTACTTGCTTCCGAAGTTGAGATCTATGTTCAAGTATGAGTAGACAAGTTATATGTTGGCTGTATACCTCGAGTACTAACTCATCTGGAATGTGAGGCAAAACTTCACGTACTGTCTCAGCCATAGCAAGCAAGTTAGCCATGTTGTCGTTTACAGGGCGTGAGGGAGTCCTCATATGTAAACCTCCACCACTCACCCCACCCGGGTATCTTCCCGCGGTGGTGGGATCTGGTGGGATGGGTGGCAAACCAGATGCCATACCCTGAGAAGGATGATTCATAGGCCATAGGCTCCAAGCAGCATCTTCGAGGGCAGTCTGGGCATATGTTTCTCCCACTGACGCAAGATGTCTCATCATCATCTGAACTCTCCCCAACCCAGCTGATCTCATAGCATTGTTTGAGGGGCCGGCTCCTCCATCTACACCCTGGTTTGGCCATTGAGGCAACCAACTTGAATCAAGCCCTGCACTTCTGTTGAGACCAACACATAAAAGAAGAACGTGAATAAGCTTAGAGGCACGGAGATGATCCAAAGCCTCTTAGGACCAACTCAAAAGAGGGAGACTATGACCCGAACCTCCAAGAACTTCCCTCCATAGGGTTCTGAGTTTGGTTAGGGAATGGTCCAGCAGGAAAGTTGTTCCCCGCATTGTTTGGTCGATCAAGGCGCTCACTTATCTCGCGAGCGAGCTGCTCATCGCTTAACACTTCTCTATTTATTGGACTTGGTTCATTTTCAGCTCGACCCAGAAACAGCGGTTTTCTACAAGTAGGACAGGAGTACATGTCATTTAATCCTTGATCCAACCTGGAAGCACAGAAAACTGCACAGTAAGCATTCAAGACTTTCTCAATGCAAGAGAAAGGCCAAGATTTAGACAACTCCAATAACCTACCAAGATCGCAAGCATGGAAGATGAAAAAGGTGACTGCAGTGAAGCCTTTTTGCTTTTGCCATGGGTTCCTGTGCCATTTTATCCAAATTGTTAAACCTTCAGAGCACAGAATGATCTACAGTAGCATGCATCATTGATTGAATAACAGCTCAAGCATACCCTGCAAATGGCACATTCATCATCGTATGCCCGTAGCTCCTCTGATGTAGCATCAGGAAGTGCTGCATGAAGAGCGCCTAGAGCCATTCTCAGTTTGGTGAATCCTTTTACACGCTTTATGATAGCACTTAACAAGGCCTGCAACAAACCATGCATGACTAATTAACAAATTTGAAAGAACAACCAAGTTACTAATCATTGATGTGAAGGAAGTTGGATAAGTTTACCCTTATATTTAGGAACAAGACTGCATCAACAAGGTGAAATGACACCCCATGGAGCCACCATATGTGCACATAATGGCCAAGTGCCATTAACAGTGTAGCCATATCCAGGGCAAACCCCAGATTTCGAGTAAGAGTGCCTTTCCACTCCCACAATGAACCTGCAGTGAGCTTCTCACCCAGTCAAAACAGCAGAATCGGCAATCCAATACAAACGATTTTAAATACAGCTACATGTACGAAAATCAAGGAAATCAATATTTCCAGGAATCCTAGGACCTTCTGATCGCACCTCTTGGAAAAAAGAATAGTCTTTCTTAATACAAAGGATTTCATTTTGCAAATATAAATTAATTTTCATAGGGAAGTAATAGGACTGCAAACGACCATTTAAAATCAAATTCATTTAAGAAATGTTTCCAAGTTTACTCGGTGTTTTAGCTCGAGTATTACACCTGAAACTGAAAAGTGCAGCCATAGCAAGCAAATTAAAGAATGTCACAGGGAGCATACGCCAATCAGCCAGTGGCAGTTCAGATCAATCAGAATACACATCAATTCGTGGATGGCAACTAGCACAGGTATACCTGCTCTGAGGGTATCAAAGAACTTGAATCTTTGACAGTTAGCACTGTCACCAGCAGAATGGTGGAGCCAAATGTCAAGCAATTGAAATCCGTGGACTAACATAGCCTGGAGAAAGGAGATAACCACGTCAATCCAGATAAAAAATTCCATATGAATTAAAAGGTGAGACAGTAACACTAGATAGATAAATGAGCACTTTCCAGAACATTACTTGCAATGTCTCAAAAGCAATGCTGAGGGGTTCAAAAAACAGCAACAGAAGCATGGGCGAACCCAATGTTTTATAAATCCCGAAGCATATCCTTATCCTGTTACCACCAAAAGAAGGTTGTAAACAGAAAACTCAATCAAGAAGCAAAAGGAAGACAAAAACTTGAGAACTCACAGACAAGCAGGGTTCAGTTGGCAAACTAGTAAAAATTGTCCAGCCTTATGAAGTTGGAGAAAAGAAATATCATTTCCAGCTTAAAAATAATTCACCATTAACCCATTATTATGAATGCCAGATATCCAACTAAACAGAGTTCTATTGGTCAAAGAAAGTCAACAGAAGCAAAATCACACTAGCTATGAAATGACAACTCATGAAGTTCTACGCATGAATTAAAACCAGAAAATAAAATATTAAAACAATAAAAGAGAAAGGGTTTGTTCTGCAGCTCAGCAATTCCTAACTTTCCTAGTATTAGCACAGCCTCCATGACGAAATAAGTGTAAGCATGTTAGCATCGAGACAACGAGCTAGAAAGCTTCACTTCAGTGGCCTTTCTTTGTATAAAGGGGGCATTACCAGAAAAGGTCAACAGAGAGTACAAACAACAATGCTGAATACACGCGAAAGTACGTCCATGGCTGAGCTGAAGGAGAGGCATTCAACCGTTCGAGCCGATCTCTAGCCAAAGCTTGAAACATCTGCAACCATAAAAAAAAGTAACGAAGCTTTCAATTACACAACGACACTTGGATGATGAACCTAAAACAGCAGTCTGAACTAAAATACTTTTCTTTTACCTTCAAAGAACACATAATTGTCAGCCAGATCAACCACAACCCAACTTGAAATACAGTGGGAGGAATAACCAGAGGTAGAAAGGTTCCCTGTTAATAATTCATCAAAAAGGTACACAAGAACAGAAATTTCAACATTATGAACACCATATAAAGAAAGATCAAATTAGTCTACCATAATATTTAGCTCTCAAATTGACCAAAATTCGCCTTCTTCCGTTTCTAAAAATAAATATGAGCTAAATATCATAAGATAAACAGTTATCTATTTCTCAAGCACGCGGAAAAAGAAGAGAGTGGTGGAAGGCTTATTCTTGATTTGTGACACAATGTGAAATACTTGCCAGTTAGGAGTACTGTATTGACTCAGAGTGCAGCACATCCATCATGGTAAAAGATTACCAAATAATAACCATTAATTAAGCTTACCTTGTAAATAACATAATTGACAAGACGTTCTACAAGTTTCCGAGTTTCAGAAGGGTACAAGTCCGCAAAGAAGATACTCTGCAATGCAAAATCAAAACCACAACATATGTTCAATCATCATGGATAAGGAAAGAGTTGCATTCCCCTTTAACCCAACCAGAGTCATCAAGTTCATCCAGCAACTTTCAAAAGCTATTATATTTAGCATGACAATGAGGCCAGGTGAGTGAAGTCATAGTATTCATATTAAGGCCACATTGATTAAATTGGAGCACATGAATATTTAAGTAAGAATAAGACAAAAGGCTTAAAATGTCATATATAAACAAATTTAAGTGCTTTCAAAAGGTAATCAGAGATCATATAAGAATCACATCTGAAGTTTGTAAATGCCACAAAGAAACTATAATTGAGAGGTTGTGGAACTCTCACCATAACTCATTCCACTGTACAAGATTAAATTGGGATCAACTGTGTTATGCGCAGAGACCACTCGGAAGAAAACTATAAACTTCATCTTAAAGATCACATATTGTTTGCTCATTTAGTAGGATAAAAATGCAGCAACATAGCACCACCAACACAAACATTATTTCATGTTCCATGCATGCTTTAGCCACTTCTACATGCCCGATTCAATCACAAATAAGGGATGAACAAGTCTGCCTCTCTCAAGCCAATCATACATTACTAAACCACTTTAATAGCTGTGTGCTGGGTTGGCAAATAAAAGCTTACCTTAAGGCAAAGGTTGAGCAGTATAAACACGTTGAACAGAAAATTTGCCAGCAATGCAGTGGTGGCATAAGACCCCAATAGCAACCCCAGGGCATCGTTGGCATTCTCTAGATTAACAGAATCCTCACCAATTAACCCATTGGCTCGTAGTTTATCCAACGAAAACTCTGCCTGATACTGGAGACCTACAAAGCTCAAAGCAGTCGACACTGCTGAAATCGCTAAATAGCTTACACCCATCAGGCAATCTGAACAGTCTCCCTACTGGAACACCTCAATTCATCAACTTTCGTGTAAACACTTCATCAGCAGGGGTTCCTCGCTTCAACCTTACAATGATGGTGGACCAGATTGTACAAAATATTCAGCTCAAGAGACAACCAAGAAACGCCAATTCTCCTAGAGAAAGAAATCCAAAAAAGACTCCTGCATTAAACACACGAGTAATGAGCATCGATTAGTAGTAGCCACCATCGCCAAGGGCCCATCAAGAGTTCATTCACGATAACTACGAGCTGGAAACAGAACGATGAAGCACGAAAAAAGCTGGCGATACTTGTGTCATGACCCGATTGAGATGGAAATTTACTCTGCCAATCCAAACTAGATCAATAATCGCCGTGATTAGCACCCAGAATTCAGTTCCAAAGTCAAACTCGCATTGATTTTCACAGCTCGATCAATCTCGCTCCCACACAAGAATCTATAACCGAATTTGCAGATGAAATCTACCACGGCAACTCGGTCAAGAAACACGACCCCTAAATCGCAATTCAGCGTAGAAAACCGGACAACGAAACCGAACTAAGCGTACCCGATACACCCAGGAGAAGGGGAAAAAAACAGAAATAATCAATCACACCGCAGTTTGAATCTCCCGTTCTTTTCTTTCTTCCCTGGAAACAAACAACCCGCCGGGAAAATCATTCAACGCAGAGACACGAATGGAAGAGGGGGACGAGAATGACCTTAATTATTCCCCGCGAAAGAGACGGAAGACGATGAAGGAAGAAGATGGCGATGACGGAAAGGGCATGGCGTCGGTGCCGAATTCAGAGAGAGAATCAGAAAAGTAAAGAAGAGAATTAAAAAAAAAATCAGATAAAGCCGCCCCCGAATTTTTTTTATTTTTTTACAGAGGGGGACGGAAATCAATTTTTGCGGGAAATCGAAATAAATAAATAATTGAAAACGAGACGTGGGAACTAAGGGGAAAAAAGGAAAAACAAACAGTTATTGTTTCCCGGGAAGACTGCTGAGTGGGCCGGACCCGGAAGTAAGTAAGAGGCCCGGCTGGAACCGGTCCATCTTCCCCGTTGGATTAAGCCTTTTCTTTTGAACGGTCGGGTTCTCGTGAATTATCGGGAGTAAGCTTGGCGGCTGAGTTTTGGAGATTGTAGATTCGTAGTTGCTGGTTGAAATTTGTAATAGGAAGTTGGAGTAGCCGCCCGTCCCCAAGACCCTAATACAAGACCTAAGCCTCGAAAATGGCATGAATTCAGCCGGAAGTGGTGGAGTGAGCGGAGGAACGCGATTGGATCTCTTCATTCGATTGCAAGCGGAAGGTCGATCTACAGAGGAAGCATTAGCGAGGAAACGGGTCAAGACGAAGAAGTGTGTTGAAGCAGGAGAAGAGGGAAAGACATTTCGGGAGGTTTTCTAGTCGACTAGGTAAGAGAAGCTAAACTTTTAAAAGGGTCTCTTCCATTACGCAGTAAAATCCCCTATCAGCTTGTTGCAGTCGTTTTCCTAGGGTTTCCCTATCCTCCTGTTTTTAAGCATGAACCTTTGTTTTGTTCATATCGCGGGCGAGCAAAGTGGGTAACTGTTCAAAGCTTCTGGTTTCCTCACAGGTTAGCGCTAGTGCACAGAGCTTTGCGGGGGGAACCCAGATATGGATACGGGGGGAAATTCTCTCCCATCTGGGTCTGATGCAGTCAAGAGGAAGGTTTGCTATTTCTACGACCCAGAAGTGGGAAATTACTACTATGGTCAAGGTCACCCCATGAAGCCCCATCGCATTCGCATGACTCATGCTCTTCTCGCCCACTATGGATTGCTTCAGCATATGCAAGTCCTCAAGCCCTTTCCTGCCCGCGATAGGGATCTCTGTCGCTTCCATGCCGATGATTATGTCTCTTTCCTAAAGAGCATCACCCCTGAAACCCAACAAGATCAGCTTCGTCAACTTAAGAGATTCAATGTTGGGGAAGATTGCCCAGTCTTTGATGGTCTCTTTTCATTTTGCCAAACCTACGCCGGTGGATCTGTTGGTGGGGCTGTCAAGTTGAACCATGGCCTGTGTGACATTGCTGTCAATTGGGCGGGTGGCCTCCATCATGCCAAGAAGTGCGAGGCTTCTGGTTTCTGCTATGTCAACGATATTGTCCTTGCTATCTTGGAGCTTCTTAAAACGCATGAGGTTAGTCTCTATATGTCTCTTTTGAATACTCTTTTGAGAAATTATCTTCATTTGTTGGTGTTCAATTGCTGTTTGCTTGGGGTATAAGCTAATCTTTGGAACAACTTTCAGTCTTAGGAATGCTGTTGTATTATTACACCATATAGATTTCAAATAGCATTTATTCATCTCCAGCTCATATAGTTCTAGTTATGCTCGTGTCATCTTCGAGGCTGTTGATCTGGTCACCACCATTCAGTTATCTTAAGAGTTAAGAGGCATGTGAGAATAAGTAAACATGTGTGGACTTCACAATGAAATATCAGCTACTTGACATTGTTACACATGTTATGAGTAAGCAACACAGCTTCCGAGCTACTGATGATATGTTCAAAGTACAAAACTTTTCTAGATCCACATACATGTACCTTATTCTTCAAATATAGAGGATAGTTATAAGCACGCAATTTGAGTTCATAATAGCAACAGTGAATCTAGAGTTTCACCTACAGATGTCATTTGAGGTTCTAATGTTCAACCAGTAGATATCAGATACCAATTTAAAGCTATCCTGGGATCATATTTTGTTAAGTGTTAATTTCATTTGTTATTAGATAGTTCAATTTCAAGTGATGCAAATTTGTATTATGAGATTATATGACTACTGTTCTTTATCTGTGTCAGAATCCTGAAACTCTATCCTATTGTGTGGATGAACCAAATCAATATTTCTTTTTGGTACTGGTCGATCCTCACTAGGTACAATTTCATTCTCTTGAAAGAGAAACCAAACATATCTAATTAGATTTCAACCAAATAAGGAACTAGCTTCTTACCACACAACTTAGTTACTTGAAAGTCTGGGATCCTTAGTGTTGGGTTTAAGTGTATTGATCCCAACATAGTCTATTAAGCATATTATCATGTTTAGCCCAGCTCATAAACTCTTCTTCTTTTTCTTGATATGCTTGCAGCGAGTTCTCTATGTGGACATTGACATCCATCATGGTGATGGGGTAGAGGAGGCCTTTTACACAACCGATAGGGTCATGACTGTTTCATTTCACAAGTTCGGGGATTATTTTCCTGGTACAGGAGACATACGTGACATTGGATACGGGAAAGGAAAATACTATTCGCTTAATGTGCCATTAGATGATGGAATTGATGATGAGAGCTATCATTTTTTGTTTAAACCCTTAATTGGAAAAGTAATGGAAGTCTTTAAGCCTGGTGCTGTGGTTCTCCAATGTGGGGCAGACTCGTTATCTGGGGATCGTCTAGGGTGCTTTAATCTCTCCATTAAGGGCCACGCGGAGTGTGTTAAATTTATGAGATCCTTCAATGTCCCATTGTTACTGCTTGGTGGAGGTGGCTATACAATTAGGAATGTTGCACGATGCTGGTGCTATGAGGTACTGATTCTCTTCTTCTTGAAAGTTATTTTTGCGTAACTATTTTCGCCTCCATTGCCATGCTGTGAACATCAAATATTTCTCCCATTTTGACCAGTGATTTCTTCTTTGTAAGTTAGACAGGGGTGGCACTTGGGATCGAAGTTGATGACAAAATGCCACAGCACGAGTATTTTGAGTACTTTGGGCCAGACTACACTCTTCACGTTGCTCCTAGTAACATGGAGAATAAAAATTCTCGTCAGTTACTTGAGGAGATAAAGTGTAGACTTCTTGATTATCTCACAAAGCTTCAACATGCCCCAAGTGTTCAGTTTCAGGAGAGACCCCCTGATACTGAGATCCCAGAAGTATGTACATTTCCTCTAGTTGTTATCTTCTGGTTGATGTTTCATATATCTTTTCTTTTGTTTGTTGCATGGCATTGTCTTAACTTTGGTGTTTGAAGCTATTCTGCAATCCTGTATATGAGCATGCATCATAGACGACTCTTCTGAATGTGTGTACCAGTTTGTCTTTCCTTTCATCTTCTTCACATGTTCGTCCAGATTCCGGAATGACGGATAAGAGTGATCGTATGTTGTTAATTTGATTGGGATCTTAAGAAGATATTTTAATTTGAAGAGCGAAATATGATATATTTATAATATATTACTTGTAATCTGAGGTACAAAAATGAGCGTGTTGTAGTTCCTATGTAACTAATACAAAGCTCAAAGCTGATTCGAAAGCCTCCCTATTGGGTGCATGTTGGTGTCAAAATGAAGTATGATGTTTTCGTTTCTGACATCATTAATACAGCTGAACACCATGTGACTATCAGTTGTATGTAAATTGGACAACCAATGCTCAGTGTGAACTTTTTCATTTACTTAAAAAATTATAAGAAATTTTGTATTATTTGCATTTCACTGAAAAATTATCTAATTTAAAGAGTAGATTGACTGTTCTGTGTAGTTTGGTTCATTTTTGTTTGAACCTATAGTTGCTAAAATGTGTCTTTTAAATTGTTTGGGAATAATCAGGCAGATGAAGATCAGGATGATGGTGATGAGAGATGGGAAGATTTCAACATGGATGTTGATGATGATCGGTATATTCTTTTGCACCAAGTTTCAATTATTGCCTCCCACATATTTGGTCGCTAATGATTGTTCACTTTTTTGTATTTGTAAATCTCTGCAGCAAGCTTCTGTCCGGCAGGGTTAAGAGAGAAGCAGTTGAAGCTGAGCCAAAGGAGTTGGTATGTTCTTTTGTATACGTGCAGTAATTCCCACCAGCACAAGTTTCCAATTGTTTGCCAGCATTCATTCGACTCTCAACTGTCTAACTGTATATCTGCACACCCTGGTTTGTCCTCATTATTATGTAGTGGATACTGGATCCTAACCATGTCTTTGAGACTGAGACATTGAGTAGGTTTTCTTGCGACTACAATATATCCTAATGTTTCTATGGTATTGATGAATTTAACTCTTTAAACCCAAACAAGTGATGATTCCGATGATAATTCTCGAACATTTTAGCAATAAGTGAGCTTTTGGAATTATATGTATTAGGAAGTAGGGATCTGAAATTTTAGCATTAAGTTTTTTTTTTAAGAAATTAAGTTAATAGTGTTGTCCAGCTATAACAGTGTAGTTTAGGAAGTAGGGATCTGAAATTTTAATTGCAGGTCCAGAGACACATATTGGATAAGACTTCTAAATCATCTATTGTTGCACGTCCTTGTTAATTAGTAGCACTAACGAAGCATTAAAAATTCAAGGTTATTGGGGATTATCTTTGCACATTCTCTGACAGTGAGTTCCATCTTGGTTTGTCCAGGAGGGCCAGAGAGGAGCTGCTGAGCATGCTAGAGGTTCAGAGGCAATGGCCGATGAAACTGCAAGTGCGAAGGTATAATATGTTTCAACTTAAGCACAACTAGGATACACAAAACATGCCAAGGTCTGCTTGATGTGGCATTGTTTGTGAGAAGATATGCTTGTCATCCCATCTTCTTATGTTTTGATTGACCCTTGGGATTGCAGCCTCTAAATACGGTTCCAATGCAAATGGACGAAGTGAACGTGAAAGTTGAGCAGGAGAACGTGAAGCCATCAGATCAACCTTACCCCAAACCCTAAACATGCCAAGAACACACCAGTTTCCATCTAGCATGTGTGTCAGGATAGATGAATACGATTTTGGCACAAAAGTTCTTTGTTATTTCAGGTACTTGAAAGGACTGGAATATGCTTGTCTAACTAACTAGCATATATGTTTCTGTATAGATGAATATGAATTCGGCCTACAGAAGCCAACCATCAAGTGCTTGTAACCCAGGGACCTAAAGGAACTTGAATTTGTGCTTGCCTCCTACTTGCCCCTTTATTCTTCATAGTAAAAAATGTTGGGCTTTCAATCATGTCACAGAGTGGTTCTCTGTGCCTGCTTATATTCCTCTATAAACTTGTGCAGGTTACGGAAGTAAAATTCTGTGGTTTCCTGTATTTATGTTATCATGCAACAAATCACATGGTTTTCTCTGGATTTACATTGCATGCATACAAAATTAGCAGAAGAGCTATACGAGCAAACTTTACAATAGACTGATTACAAAACCAGGTCAAATCATTACGTTCTGTCTCAAACTGTTTGGAACAACTGAGACCTAATTAAAACCATGTATATCCATAACTTGCTGCGCCGAAAGGAGTTCCATGCAGGGATTAACGGTCCAAGGCATTTCACAGGTTAAGTTGTTTCACAATTTTGTAGATGATTAGTTTGCTGGAAGGGTGGGAGGAGTCATACTCACTAACCTTAATATGGACCTTCAAGCCTTCCCTTTAAGTGCCAAAACTTGTGGAGGTGGCGAGCTCTGGTCATCTCCAGTCATGGCCGCCAAGTTATGAGAAGATGCATTTAATAAGGTTGCCGCAAGATTGAGTAACCATCACTTGCAGTCAAGCCAATGCAAAACCTGAAGATATATGTTCCAACATAGAGTAAGGAGGAGATGAAGCAAATATGCCTCTGTTTAAGAGGTCAGAGATTTAAATGACAGATGTTGCCTTGTCTCCACAAGTTAACAAATCATGATCTCATAATAATCGATCGAAAAAAGTGATGGAGATGCACCATCTTCTCTAACAAGAGTCAAAGATTAAATCAATCTCCACGAAAACATTGAAAGATAAATAAATCGAAAATAAAGGCTCGAGAGGTGGTAAAACTCAGTTTCGTTAATATTTAATATCTTACTGTATCTCCATTACTTAGGGCAACCTATATCTATGCAAAATTGTCAAACTAAGAAATGAGGCTACGATTTGGGTACATACCCTTCTTCTTCTTCTTCTTTTTTTTTTTTTTTTTTTTTTGCATTAGCCACTCTAATTTAAGCACAAATCTCAAGCGTTGCAAATAAGGATTTTTTATCTCTCACAAATTTTCTACTAACTATATTTCCTTCTTCATATCAGATTAATTGAAAATTGTTAACAAAAAATATTAACAAATGCTATGACATGTATATGTGAGAATTTATTAAAACATCAAAGACAACACCCACTATGTAATTTTACCTTTACTCTTCCATTTTTTTAACTTCAAATTCAATCAGAAAATAACTTTGTACCCACTAAACATCTAGTTTTCGGCTAAACATTTTATCTCATTGCTGCCCGTTTATAAGATCATGTTCCAGTTTTGAGTTATGCAGAAAATTGAAAATATTTAATTTGTGCTTAGTATTTGGTAATGGAGATCATAACGATTTGAGAAAAAGAAGAGACTTTTGATGTTGGAGATATAAATTCCAACGATAGAGAGAAAGAGTGAATATATGATAATATTCATGACTTGGATAAGATAAACTCTACTCACAGAAAATTATATTTTATATGAGTTTTTTACTTTCCAATAATTAGATAATTTGGACTCTTTTCCTATACCAAATCAAATGTCAAATGTAATTCCATCAAATATTGCTATTGTTTAGTATTAATGAAAAGTATCCGGCCAACGGGCGTGACCCACATCTAGTAAAATTAAGGAGTGTATACCAATATCGACTGAACTGATTTTTTTATAAAAAAAATATTTTGAATTTTATATTGTAGATAATGATTAATATAATTTTTCTATATAAAAAATTAAAATCCAAATTAAAATAATAAATTATATGATCTGTTAATACTAATGGAATTAGGAGGAATTTTACAATGTTATATAGTATTGGTGCTATAGATTTTTGTATTTATGGTACAACTTGAAGTTGTACATTTAACGTTATGGTACAACTTCAGATTGTACCTATACTTTTTATACAATTTGTCTTATGGTACAACTTGAACGTGTACCTTTATGACATGGTACAACTTCAAGTTGTAAAGTTGTACCATAACATAATGATATAAATTCATTTATGGTACAACCTGAACTTATACATTTAGCGTTGTGATACAACTTCAAATTGTACATTACAGCACCAATGCTTTATAGCATAATAGAAGTGCTCATGGAATTAGTTATATAGAAAACAGAAGATAAATATGTACCATTATATTATCTTATGCTCATATTTATGTTGCCACTATAACAACACTGTAGAGTGTTATTCTGCTATCTTATCATGTTCTCATGGGTTAACTTATACATTTTGCATGTAGGGAATATGGTCTATTCCTTTATTCTAATAAATCTCTTCCGGTCGGATGGGGAGATTAGCTGAAAATTAGATTTAGTTAGATTAAAGTTTGTCAGTAAACTATCCTAGATTGGAAGTTGGAACTAAGCATTGTACACACGTTAAACTGGTTGATTGAAGGAAGTGTCATTTGTTGATTGTTTTTCCTGTAATTTTGGGAGATCTTAACCTCCCCTTCGATGAAAAGTAATATGAATGGTCTTGAGCAAAGAACGAAGCAACATTTTTCTTCTTGATGGATCGTGAAAATTATCAAAACTGTGAGTGAGTCATTTTGAGTTTGATTTTTATGTGCTTTGCTGTCACACCAATGGATGGCTTCCGTGACCTCAACTGTGACTAAAAGCTTTGGAATATATAGATTGTCATATTTTGAAATGGCATTCTCTCCTTTTAAGAGAAGCGGAAGAAGATCTGAGGTTTGGGTGGAGGAGCAGCAGAAAAACTGCAGTCCTCTCTTTAGGGTTTTCTATTTTATATTGGTGCACAACGGCTAATACACAGTATTAACGGTCATACGAAATCCATTAACCAAAGCTTAACACGTGCCAGGTTTGGATTCGTTATTAACCAACAGACTGCACTAAACAATCTCAAAGAATAAAGAACAAAACGGCAGCGCATATAAAAGTTCGATGTCAGTTCCAAACTTCCATTCTTCTCCATTTTAGTCCTTCGTTCTGGTGTTGAGACTGAATCCTTGCCTGATCAGGATTGCAGTGCAGAACTGTAGTGGCTGCTGTCCTTCTTCTGTCAGCTCCTTGCTGACCCTCCAATAGGCCCCCACAAGATGGCGAGTAAACATCAATAACTCCCATCTTGCCAAGCAACTCCAGCAGCCTGTACTTGCTGACTCCCTTAGTAAAAATGTCAGCAAGTTGATCTGAAGTGTGCAAATGACACAGCCTAATCATGCCAGTCTTAACCCTCTCTCTAGTAACATGCATATCTATCTCGATATGTTTTGTTCTCTCATGAAAAACAGGGTTTTCAGCAATATGAATTGCTGACCTGTTGTCACAGTAGACAGTAATAGGAGTTTTCACTTGAACTGCCAACTCTGATAACAGTCCCTTCAACCATTGAATTTCACAGACCAAATGAGCCAAAGCTCTATATTCGGCTTCAGAAGAAGACCTTGACACAGTGGTCTGCTTCTTGCTCTTCCAGGTAAGTAATGAATTTCCAAAGTAAGTGCAAAAACCTGTTATTGATCTCCTGGTATCTGGGCATGCTGCCCAGTCTGAATCACTGTAACCAGTGATGGTGAAGTCTGTGTTGCTGCTGAACAGGATCCCTTGCCCTGGAGATTTCTTCAGGTATCTTAAAACCCTTTGTGCTGCTTGCATATGTGTATCAAGAGGATTACGCTGAAATTGACTTAGCTGCTGCACTGTGTAACATATGTCTGGTCTGGTTATGGTTAAGTAATGTAACCTTCCAATCAGTCTCTTATAGCTCCTTGGATCATCAATAGGAGTCCCCTCTCTTGAGCTCAGCCTCACCTTCATATCAATAGGAGTCAATGTCTCCTTTGCATCCTCATAACCAGTGTCCCCAAGCAATTCAGTGCAGTACTTTCTCTGATTAACAACAATTCCATCAGCATTCCTCACAATCTCAAGTCCTAGGAAGTACTTCAAAGTCCCCAGATCCTTGATTTTGAAACTTCTTTTCAAATAAAGCTTCACCAGTTCAAGGTCATCAAGCTTTTCTCCTGCCAAAATGATGTCATCTACATATACAAGTAGAATGACCATCCTGCCTTGTACCTTCTTTGTAAACATGGAGTAATCTGAAGATGACTGAAAGAAACCATTCTTCAGTAGTGAAGAGGTCAGTTTGGCAAACCACTGCCTACTGGCCTGTTTCAATCCATACAAGGATTTCCTAAGCCTACAGACCTTACCTTCACTTCCCTCCAATCCAGGGGGTGGAGTCATATAGACTTCTTCCTCCAAGTCTCCATGCAAGAATGCATTGGAGACATCCATTTGATGTAAACACCAGTTCCTAGCTGCTGCAACAGCTAACAGTGTCTTAACTGTATTGATTTTAGCAACAGGTGAAAAAGTGTCAAGGAAGTCAATGCCATAGATCTGAGTAAATCCTTTAGCAACTAACCTTGCTTTATACCTTTCAACAGATCCATCAGGTTTAAGCTTGGTTTTGAACACCCACTTGCAGCCAATAGTTCTCTTCCCTGATGGCAGTGTCACCAGATCCCAAGTGTGGTTTTCAGTCAAGGCATTTAACTCCTCTTCCATAGCTTTAACCCAATGGTGTTCCTTAGCTGCTTCCTTGTATGACTGAGGATCCATAAAAGCAACTAGGCTCATTGCATACCTCTTTTGTTGAGGTGTAAATTGATGATAAGAAACATAATTAGTCATGCAATATTGACTAATCTGATTAATAGTTGTGACATAGTCCTTATGCCAAACAGGTGGCTTTCTGTTTCTAGGGGGAAGATCATTGTCATCCAGTTCATCTCCTGGTGGCAATTCATCATCAGATTCCTCCTGATAGTCAGGCTCAGGATCAGCAAAGTCTTCATCTGTTGAGTGGTCTTCCTCTACTGGTGTGTGATGAGATGAAGATTGAGGACTGAACTCAGTGCCTAATGAGGTCTGTGGAGAAGAAAATCCATCAACTGAGGTTGATGGAATAGGGGCAGGTGGAACAGATGAAGTAGGTTGGCCCCCATGAGCCTGAACATCAGGAAAGGTGACTGTAGGCAAGTCAGGGAAGACTGGTGTGTCATCTGAATCATCAACCAGCCCATAAAAAGGGAAAATATCTTCATAAAATGTCACATCCCTGGACATAAACACTTCATGGGAAGTCAGATCAAAGAGTTTATACCCTTTGATGCCAAAAGGATATCCCAGAAACAGACATTGTCTTGCTCTGGGCTGAAACTTAGTTCTACCACTGCTCAAGGTAGAAGCATAGATTAAGCAACCAAAAACCCTCAAGTGATCAAGAGAAGGAGGCTGTTTGTATAGTAATTCAAAAGGGCTTTTGTTATCAAGGATAGGGGTAGGCAACCTATTAATCAGATGCACTGCATGAAGTATGCAATCACTCCAAAACTGTAAAGGGATACCAGATTGAAACCTTAAAGCTCTTGCTACATTCAATATATGCTGATGTTTCCTTTCAACTCTCCCATTCTGTTCTGGGGTGGCTACACAGGACATTTGGTGCTCTATTCCTTGTTCTTCATAGAATTCAGTCATATGAAACTCCCTACCTTGATCACTTCTGATGGTTTTTACAGATTTAGAAAACTGATTCTTCACCATGACACAGAAATTCTGCAGAAAAGACCTGGTTTCTGATTTGTGTTTCATAAGAATAGTCCACACAGCACGAGAATGATCATCAACCACAGTGAGAAAATAAGAAAAACCATCATATGATTCAACTGCCAAAGGCCCCCATATGTCCACATGGATCAAATCAAAGACATCATTTGCTCTATGTTCACTCAAAGTAAATCTCTTGTGTTTAGAAAAATGACAAACATCACAATGTTTCACTGTCTCATGTCTAACTATGGGATTACAAAGCTTTAATAATTGTATCTTCTTGGAACTAGGATGCCCTAAACGCCAGTGCCAAAGGTTAATCTTCTGAGGTTGGAAATTGTAGACTGAAGCTACTGAAGGTGTGATTTCACTCTCTGAACTGGACATTAGATGGTATAGACCCCTACTTTGCTTTGCCAAGCCAATCATCCTGTTGGTTACTAGGTCCTGGACAACACAAGAGTCAGATTGAAAGGTGAGGGAAATTGGTAAATCATGTGTCAATCTACTAACTGACACAAGATTGAAAGTAAAACTGGGAATTAACAAAACATTGTTCAACAGGATTCCTGATGGCAACCTAACTGATCCAATGTGTGTAACTGAGACTTTGGTACTATTTGGTAAGAAAACTGACACTCCCTGTATTGGTTTATATGTGGTAAAGAAATTCTTAGAGCAAATGATATGGTCTGAGGCACCAGTGTCTAAAATCCATGTTGGAACAAGTGAGGCCGAATAACAATGAACATATGAGGTTAGAACATATTTACCAGCTGAATTTGGAAAATGTGGCATCTGCTGTGCTGCTGAAAAGGCTGCATGACGAATGTTTGGTGAGTGTGGTGGTGATGGAGAGGGTGAAGGACTGGTAGTCACTCCTTGAAGCAAGAGTCTGAGTCGATTCATTTCATCACCAGTCAACTGAAGGTTCACAATGTTGGCTGAGTTGTTGCCACTTCCTCCAGAGTTAACACTTCCACTTCCACTGCTTGATTGAGTTTCAAGCACACCATCCTCAGATTCATTCACTGCCCCAGCAAAGTGTGATCCAGCACCTTGTTCCTTGTTCTTCCTCTTCAACTTCCAGCAGTCTGCTATATTGTGATTTGTTTTCTTACAATATCTGCAGAACAGTCCTGTTTCACTTCCTTCCACACTTCCTTGTTTTGCTGACTGCCTTGCAGCAGCATTCTCATTCCCTTGATTTCCTTGTCTCCCATAAGATGCAAGTGCCACTGACTGTGTGTTCCTTCCTTTATCAGACTTCAGTTTCTGCTCATGCTGGAGAAGGTCCCCATATGCTGCCACAACAGTTGGAAGAGGCTTCATCATGAGAAGCTGAGTCTTCACAACATCATATGCAGGACTGACTCCTCTCACAAATCTCACAAGGTAATCTGTTTCTTGTTTTGCCTTAAAGGCTTCAACAGCTGGACATGGGAGAACCTGTCCTGGAGCACAAGTACAAGGTACTATTGGATTGAACTTCGAGTATTCCTCCCATAACCCTTTCATCAGTGTATAATACTGGGTTATGGTCATGTTTCCCTGCTTACAAGCATGAATATCATCTTCCAGATTGGTCAATTTCACAGCATTAGCTTGACCAAACCTGTCTTTCAATTCTTCCCACAGATTCTGTGCAACTTCATGACTCTGGACACTTCGCTTAATGTCCTTATGCAGAGAATTAATAATCCAGCAAAGCACAACAGTATTGCAAGCATCCCATGCTCTATAACCATTAGGATCTGTCCTAGGATCAGGGATTTGAACAGAACCATCTATGAATCCAAGCTTATACTTGGTTTTGAGAGCAATCCGAACAGATCTAGCCCACATTTGGTAATTACTACCATCTAGAACTTCAGACACGATGGATTGAGAAAGATTCTCATTAGGGTTTTGATAAAAGGGGTTACCGAACTGGAAATCTGGAGAGGGTTGAACAACTTGTGTGGAATCTGTGGCCGCTGCACTTGAAGTTGAATGTGCTGCTGACCCAGTACTGGGTTGTTCTTCATTCCCACTCATTGTGACCTAAAGCTGCTGCTCCAACCTGGATCAGGCTGCCTGAATGGCGCCGTGCTCTGATACCATAAGAGAAGCGGAAGAAGATCTGAGGTTTGGGTGGAGGAGCAGCAGAAAAACTGCAGTCCTCTCTTTAGGGTTTTCTATTTTATATTGGTGCACAACGGCTAATACACAGTATTAACGGTCATACGAAATCCATTAACCAAAGCTTAACACGTGCCAGGTTTGGATTCGTTATTAACCAACAGACTGCACTAAACAATCTCAAAGAATAAAGAACAAAACGGCAGCGCATATAAAAGTTCGATGTCAGTTCCAAACTTCCATTCTTCTCCATTTTAGTCCTTCGTTCTGGTGTTGAGACTGAATCCTTGCCTGATCAGGATTGCAGTGCAGAACTGTAGTGGCTGCTGTCCTTCTTCTGTCAGCTCCTTGCTGACCCTCCAATACCTTTACACTCTAAATGGAAATTCAAAGAAAATTGATGAAATCAACATTTTACTAGTAATGCAAAAGTTAAGTGACTGTTTCGTTAAATATAAAAAAAAAGTTTAGTAATCATTTTATCGATACTCGTAAAGCTAAGTGACCATCTATGGAAGTGGTAAAAATAAAAGACTAGTTTTGTAATTGACCCTAGTTCCAAGATCACGTCAGTTATACGCGCTGGAGTCGGGCCAGTTCGAATAGCCCGTAACTAATTCCCAATTCCCCAGCTCTCATCTTCATATTCTCCGCCGCTCGTTCTTCGCCGGAGACTCCGTCATCACCGTCGAGCGACCTAGGCTCCCGTGTCTCCGTAGACATCGTACAGAAGCTCGGATCTTATACCGCCGGCCGATTTGAACTTGCGTTACTCTTCTCTCTTCAATAATCCGTCAGGCTGCTGCTGATCGATGGGATTAATTCGAAACTATTTCTCCTTCCTCGTCGGCACGGCGTGTGGGGTTTACATCGCCCAAAACTACGAAGTTCCTAACATCAAGAAGGTCGTCCACTCCGCCCTCTTCACCGCCAAAGTCGTCGAGGAGAAGTACCGGAAGCCCAAGAGTGATAAAGATGACGTTTAACTCCCATCCGAGGTCCCTGCTTACGCTCTTACTGATTTTTTTAGGTTTTAATTGTGGTGATTGAAACCCTAGAACGGATCTCATATAGGCTATAAATAGAATCAATTTACATACTTTTATGACTTTCTGCGTTGAGACTTGAGAGAATGAGTACAGAATTCCAAAGTGAGTCTTAGTAGAAACTTCATTCGGATTTGGTGTATTGTTGGGTTCTACCAGGTTTAAAGAATGAATGGTTCTTGAATTGTTACATCTAGAATCGATTGGCCGGATGGTGACTTGCAATTGTTATTCATGACTCATTGGCCAATTTGATATGGTGAGTGAAACCCCTTATTTTAGAGAAGTTGCTTCTGTAGTTCTGTTGATGAATCGAACTAGATATTGCAGAGTGAATGAATGGTTCTTGAATTGTTACATCTAGCTTCGATTGGCCGGCTGGCCATTTGCAATTGTTATTGATGAGATTGGCCAATTTGATATGGTGAGTAAACCCATTCTATTAGAGGAGATGCTTCTGCAGTTCTGTTGATGATTTGAACGAGATATTGCAGAGTGAATGCCTTGGTTGCAAGGGTGATAGCGTCGCAGTTGTTTCAATGGGTTCTCCTCTCTGGGTAGGATCTATTTGCGTGGTTGTTCTTGTTTCCAGTCAGAGCAACTTGTTCAGCCACTAGGGTATAGAAGAATGGTCTAGTTCAGTGTTGAATCTTGAATATGGATGGCAGAAATGGGTGTGCAATGTGCACTGTTGTTAATGCCAAGAAGCTGGTTTTGAGAAAGACACTTGGATTTTGAGAATGGTTTCTTGGAACAGGGTGCAAGTAGGCTAGTTCCCCGCATTTGTGTGATTTGTGGTGCAATAGGCATCCTTAATGAACCATTCCTAGTAGTTTAAGGCAGCTCAAAGTTCAAAACATATAGATACTTGGTTACTGTTCATATATAAGATGGTAGATCATACTCTATCGACCATTCTCCGATCTTCGGTATAAGATCAGATAAATGGTTTATCTAGACTACATTGCTAATCTGAAATCTTTCGACTCGGCTGGCAATCTGAAATTGGTCTGATGCCCATGGAAAGCAAAAACGAGTAAGTAGCAAGGGAAGCTGGGGGAGTCTGCAAAAATGCTTGGGTGGTCCTTTGTAGTGAAGATGGACTGATGAATGATGCAGATCAAGTGCCCTACATAGGAGGCCACAACATCTCCCCTTGGTAAATTAGCTCTCCCATACTATCTGTATCAATCATCTCTTGATCTTCATTCCCTTATGTGGTTGAAATGCTTATTATGCCATCAATCATCATACAGAGCAAAGGCAGGACTCAGGAGTCAGGAGCATAGCATCTTCGAGCTCGACATCGAAGATACTTGGATGAAGCTCATATCTTGAGATGAATTAGGGGAATACATAGACCGCCATTTAGAGGGCCGAAGCCCATAAGTTTGATTGCGAGCTCTAACTTAATTCAGAATTCAGTAGGCCTGGCTGCCCATATTTCAGTCCAGCAGTAGCCCAATAACCCATCGAACGAAAAGGGAGAGGATCCTTTTCCTTGTGCAACACGTTAGCTAAAAAACGACGGTGTTCCTTCACTGTCGTCACATATCCATTGTTCCTTCCTTCAAGCCCACGCTACAAAAAAAAAAACCTTCAGAATTAGCCCTTTATAGTTTATACCATAAGGGACTGCCCTGATACCGTCATTAAGGATATGCCTTTAAGGTGCTGTCACTGCGGCTCTTTCTATTATGTGGTATAGTATAATACTTGGAACTGTTAGTGCCTTAGTGGTGGATAGCAATGCAGTCAAAATCGCGTTTTAAAACTTAAAAACTTACGATTTTACGCTTTTGGGTCACCAAAACGCTTTCGTTTCCATATAAAAACTTAAGTGTATAAAATCGGACTAAATTGCGCTTTAAAGCTTAAAAACTTACGGTTTTACGGTTCTAGTTCACCAAAACGCTTTACGTTTTTACGCTTTTAGTTCACTAAATGAGTATTCTTTTAATGAAATTAATTATAAAAAGTATATTTTTAAAGTAAATCACTAACAATATGATACATTTGAGATTAAAAGATACATACTAGGTACTTGGATGCATTCTACTTCAATAGAGTAATATAATTCACCAGCTAGGGTTTTCCCAAATTCATTAGCATAGAGGGAAAAGTGACTTATCGTTAAAATTTATTTTTACGAACTTATTATTAAGATGCTATAAGTTCCTCTACTTTAAACATGAATCGCATGTATTTATTAACTTATCTAAATTCTGTGCATTCATATTTTGCATTGCATATGTCCTACTTAATAGATTTTTAGTTATTTTTCAGTATGCGTCAAAAACTTACGCTTTTACGCTTTGATTCTACGCTTTACGATTTTACCCCTTTTCCGCTTCTAGGTAGAATCGCGCTTTTGACTGCATTGGTGGATAGTTTCGAAGTTCGATATAAAGTCTCAAGAATACTGCATAACATCGTGAAAAATGAATTCAAAATTTTGATTGCTACTTAGTATCGTTAATAGGTCTGAAAATATATCAGAAAATATCAAATTTGGATATTTGTACTCCGTCATGGCATCTATATGTTTGGAATAGATTCTATTTTGAGAGACTTGAAAAAAACACTATCTCGTTGAAAGATTTTATATATCTGCTCTTTTTCAACTCGTTTCTATCATAGCAGGCATCGAAACAGCGCATTTCAGGGAGAACTAGCTAGCTCGGAGTTCGAGTGACATTTTACCCCTAATTACAACTCATCCGCTGATTCTTCAACATCAGCCGGTAAGTCAAGTCCTACAAAAGGTGTTCAAGAATAGGTTTGTTTCTTCAAAGAGTGTAGTTCTTGGTGGAAGAGGAGGGATCGAAGCGACGTCCAAGCCATACACACACGAGAGCGTACCAGTAAGATTAGTGGTCGAGAGAGTGGTGGGTGAGTTAGGTTGGTCGACTTGAGATTATAATTTTTGGAGAAATTTTGAATTAATTATTTGGTGTCATTTTCTTAAACGAAAAAGGAAAATGAAAGTATAATTAAATGTGGAATGATTATCTTGTTAATTAAGGAAAAAAATTCTCTTCTTGAACCGCAATTGGTCCTTGTGAAAGAGAATATTCTTAGTTTACCGCTTTTATAAATACTAAATAGCATACCCTCTATTTTATTTTTATCTTTTGAGAATTCATAGCTAACTCTATCTATATATATATATATATACTATTCAAAAAGCAGAAACACGAAAAAAGTGTTATTTAGATAATTATGATATTCCTACAAATCAAGAGAAGAATAGTGATTGTTTTATCACAGAAGTAATCTGTTGATGATCTATTATGCATAGTACGAGACAGTATCGTGAACTATTTTTTTTAAATGTGATCTAGTTTTCAAAAATTCACGAGCTAATTTTAATTGCTCGATTTCTAATGAAAACTACTGTTGCGGTTTCACGAATCGTGGGTTTTTACATTTTGATGTACCTTCAAGTTCAAGGCAAATATGCCACAAAAGAACAAACAAAAAGCCGGAAGAAGCATCTACAATATTAATTAAACGGGTCCCGAGTTGCCAAATTTCCTATGCATAAGTTTGGCAGTAGACTACAACCATGAAAACCGTTTCCTTATTGGCTTGCTGAATTGCGGATTTGAATATTGTTAATTCATGTTGGCGGTTGCCAGAAGCCGCTGTAAACGGGGTTTTGGATATTACGTTTTCTTGGTTAGGTAGCTAGGGCGGGCCATGTAACCGCAATTAGTCCAGAGCAAGGTTGTCAACCCGCGAGTTGACCCGGACCCGGTCGAGCTAGTGGGTCAAGGGTTAATGGGTCAACCGTTTTAGTCCGGTTTGGCCCGGAAATATAGAAAGAGTCATTATATTGTACTTATTCTCATAAATTATATCAAATCTTATCTAACATATGAGTTATAACATATATAATTACACCAAAATAACATATTGTACTTAGATCCAACATATAGTGAAAATTCACACACACTTATATAACATAAATATTCAAATGTTCACCTTAGTATTCCAAAGATTGAGTTAGGCGAAAAGAAAAATTGGAAAATAGGCGCATTTCGCAAACTAAATAAAAAAATGACACAATTTGACCTCCAACCCGGTACCTTATAGCGGTCGGCCCGACGGGTGCGTACGGCCCGTTTTTCTCACCGAGGCAGGGTCAAATTGGGTCGAACCGTGGGTCAACCCGCGGGTTGACAACCTTGATCAAGAGTCGTGAACCATGCCACAAGCCCACAAGGCAAGCCTGTGGATTTACCATCACTGTTCTTGTTTTAAAGGGAGCAAAATTATGGGGCACTTCTATTATATTTTAAAGTAATGTTGTCAAAATCGAATCGATAAAGTAACCTGTTCACACATTATTGATTTAATCGGTGTTAGAACGTTAACAAGCCGTTAATAACCGTAGCTAATAAACAAGAATATTAAGTATAATTTGAGAAACATAAACATATAATATGATGAACCGAACCGAAACTGAATTAAACCGAACCAAAAACGAATTAATGCTATTCGGTTCGGAATTCGGAAGGAAAATATGGATAGTTCGGAAATCAGGGTTCTTTCAACCGAACCGAATTTCCGAATTTCCGACCGAAAAACTGAAATACTATAATTGCAAGCTCCAAATGGTGGATTTTTATGTTTGTAGTTGTTTTTAGACTTAAATATTTGAAATGTTTTATGACTTATGTGTTGAAAAGTTTGGTTTTATCATTGATGATGCATATAATTGATATTTATTGTTTATATTAGGGGTGAAAATAATTTAAAAGTGAGAAAATACAAGTAGCTTCACAAATTCGGTTTTGTGTGAAAAACCGAACCGAATTATAATTCAGTTCGAATTCGGTTTGAGGTTTGGGAGAATTCGGGGACCCGGTATTCATAATTTCGATTCGGTCGAAACCGAACCGACCGAATGCCCACCCCCACTCTCACCATCCCTTCTCTTTCTATTTCAGTTTTGAGTTTTCATATTTCCAGTCAAGATTCCAAACCCTAGGGCGACGTGGACAGATTCGTTTTTACTGAGCGGGTGGAATGTTGAAAACCGGTAGGATGGTTTGAACAACTCAAGCGGTTAACCATTCGAATCTTTCATCAACCTATATGTTCGCCCGTGGCGGCTTTTCGACTAATCTGAGCCGGGCTTATAGTCCGGTCCCAATTTTACTGGTCCGACCGTCTGGCTCGACTCAATTTTAACAACACTACTTTAAAGTATTGGTGCTTTAAAGTACAACTTGAAGTTATACTATAACGTTAAAGGTACAAGTTAGAGTTGTACCATAAGAGAATTTGACTTTTATGTTGTGGTACAACTTCAACTTTTCAAGTTGTACCATAACTTAAATGTACAACTTTACTTTGTACCATAAAATGATTTCACAAAAGAGTATAGGTACAATCTAAAGTTGTATCATAACGTTAAAAGTACAACTTCAAGTTGTACTATAAAGGCAAAAACTAAAGCACCAATACTTTAGAGCGTTGTAAAATTCCTCAAATTATAGACTATTGTGTATTTTTGGCTGGATTTTTAAAAGATGATTTCATACTTCACAAATTTAACTTGGATCAAACATTTACAAAAGTTCGGTTTTTTAAAAAGTTGAAATGTGTTGTTTATAATACAAAAGCAAAAACTTCGATTCGAAGTTTAGGCAAAAGGTTGTTTTGAAAATATAAATTATCCTTATCATTTTATTTTGTCTTCACAAAATATACGTTTCATTCATTTATATAATTCAAATTAAAATTAGAAAATAATATAAAATAATGTTATAAACGCGCTGCTACGGATCGGGAAATCGCCGGAATCGATAAAACAAGAATATGAAAGTGAGAATCAAAAAACACAGACACACGATTTACGTGGTTCACTAACACGATGTGTGTTAGCTACGTCCACGGGCGAGAGAGAGCCAGTTTCACTATATCGAGGAGATTACAGATTACAGAGGAGTATGAGAAGTATTTATAGTACTTCTCCATGTGGGTCTAAACCTAATCCAATCTGGCAAAGGAAACGGTTACAGACCAGGCCCAGAACCCGAACCCAAATAACATTGAGCCCCCCGATTACCAATCGTAGCGGCTGATAGTCCGATTCAAGTCACATCAACAAATAAAGTACTTCTAAATTCTAATAGTTATTCAGTATACTCGACTTTTTTTTAGGTCAAATACACTTGTGTAGCCAAAACTTTGACGATTTTGCCAAATATAGCCACTTTTGGTGAAATACCAAAAATAGCCACTTCCGTCCAATTGTTTGACGGTGTTAGTTAAGCACGACTGGACTAACGGAAAAACTGACATATCAACCTTTTAGTCATAAAAATATGAGTTGGAATTAACTGAAAAATAAAAACAAAAAATAATCAAATATTTTTTATTTCCTCTCTCCACTCTCGGTTCTTTCCCCATCCGTTCCCCAACCGCCACTCATCTTTCCTCGCTAGGGTTTCACCGACATCTCGTCCATCACTAGCTGCTGAAGGTCTTCATCGAGCCGGCGTTTTGAAGGAGCCGCCTGCAAAAAAATCCCTCTGCCAAAAATGCCAATTCCAACTCTAGAATCTCCCCCATTTGAATCGATGTTGGTGTTGGTCATCATCAGATTTCTTCCGGGCCAGCCTCTCCACGACGCGAGGCGGTAGGATCTGCGCAGCCGTCGTCGCGGTCGTCGTCTCCTCCAGATCCTCCTCCGCGGCTGTCGATTCTCGATCTGGTGCTTGTCAATGACGATGCTCTGTTTCGTCTCCTCCAGCACGAAACAGACGGCGAAGCTCGTGTTCTTTGTTCGGCGTCGGCGAAGCTCGTGTTCCTCCTTTGCTTCTATGGTCTCCGCTCCAGTCGACCGGATGGGCTACATCGCTTCTCCTGGGGTCCCAAAAATGGCAAGGGAGAGAGATGCACAATGGCGGGTTCTGGGCAATTTCGCCACCGCCGTCGAGTTCGTCACTCTACGGCATCGCTGTGAAAAATGGGAATCCTTTGGCTTCCCAATTTTTTATTCCTCATCTATCTCTATTCTTCCCCATCTATCTCCCATCTACCTCCATTTAGGGGTAAATCAGAAGCTTTCTGATCGGAAAATTTGGGAATCTATGCTGATTGGAATACAGGGGAAAAGGGGGGTGAAGATGGCGAGGAGTTCTGTGGACGATGAGATGGAGATGAAGGGAAGAATACAGGGACAAAGGTTGATTATTGTACCTTTATGATTTTTCATTTTTTGTTTTCATTTATTTTTAAATTAAAATATGACATGGCATCCATTTGGCAAGTGTTGCTGAGTTGTCGATGATGTGTCCGGTGAGTTGGCAGCCAGGTAAGCTTTCCGTTAAATTGACTAACGGTGTCACTGACGCCGTTAAATTATGTAACGGAAATGGCTATATTTGTCATCAAACTTTCAAAATTCTGGCTATTATTGGTATTTCCCCGAAAGTGGCTATTATTGTCACAAACGTCAAAGTTTTGGCTACACAAGTGAATTTGGCCTTTTTTTTAACTACTCTCTAGAATCTCTAGCAAGAAACTGTTGGTGCAAAAGACACGGCAGGCCCAACCAGCTCATGTTTCTTTAGGCGAAGAACAATATTGTCATCATAACCGCTTTTGGCCTTTCATACAGTCCAATCCCTAGGGATGTATAATTGCCGATTACTACTAGCTTAATCGGCAAACTAAAGGAAGCAAATAATGTGGCGTTACGTTACTACACGACAAACAGTGGAATGGCACGTCGACGGAAAAAGGAAGGTTCATGGAAGCATCAATGTACGTCGACGACGGCGACGGGAATGGATAGACTTTTCGCATTGAACTTTTTTGCTGGGAGAGGTCATATCTGTGTGATATGTATGCCTAGGTGCTCGCCACACATTGGCACCTGTCTTGACAAAATAACATAAAAACGAAACGGAAGACAGAAGAAAGGAGTGCAATCACTCGTCAGTTTCCAAAAGGAAGAAAAAGAGGTGGTTTAGAATAGGCAAGGGGCCCAGCGGCAAAGATTTCGCACCCACAAATTCATTAACGGATTTAAGTCATTGCTGCTGCTTTCACATTTTAACCAACTATACAAAGGTTATTATGCCTTACAGCAGGAAGCAGATATCATCAAAGGAATATGTCATTATTATCGATAAGAATTTCATGTCTCTCGTTTTCTCTCATTGTGCATAAAAGCAGATTCATTTCCATGCATGTTTTGTTTTCCCCCGTTAATGCTAGGGTCCCACTGACGATAGAAGGGTCTTTCGAGGGTTGTTTAGAACTAAGAGTGATTAGGACAGAATTTAATGGGGATTTTGTGTTGAATGGAGCAAGATTCGAGGAAGAAGGAGAAACAACGAGATGGAGGAAATTAGGTTTAGTATTTACTTAAGCTTCTATTCATTTGGGTTCCTCATTTCTCCTCCAAGAATTAGAGAATACAAAAAAAAAAAAGACTCAAAATTAGGTTATGCTACTTCTGTTATGCCCAATATAATTACCAAAGCTACTCCAAACTCCCCAAAAAAAAATCAGTAAAATCTCAAAATTATTATGAAACACCTGGTAGATAACCAAACAGTTGGATACAAATTCGTTATAAATCAATTGGTTTCAATAACTCGACTTGTTAGGGGGGAATTAAAATAATTATGGATCATATATCACTCTCTTACATTGTTTTGTTAGATGGATATGACGCATCTCATGACTGCATAATTTACTTAGGGGTCATTCGGATTGAGTATTTGGAGATGTTATTTAGGGTCAAATAAACATGTTTGGCTGACGAAAAATGGGATGTGTTATTTGGATGTGGTGTTTTGCCAAATAACATATTTGAAACCAAATAACACAAAAAGTGTTGTTTGTCAAATACTTGGGAGGGGCATGCAGCTATTTGCCAAATAACAGGTTTGAAATCAAATATCAAATACCAAATAATAAACTTTATGTTATGTGGTATTTTTGTGGTAATTGGTCTCAAATAATAAGTTTGTCAAATACTCAATCCAAACAACTATCTTCATTTGTTTGATGTATACACAGTACTACTTATGTAAATAACTTCTACATATATATTTGAAGAAACTGAAATCATAGCACACCTCACACGTTGATTCCTGTCAACACGCTTCCAGAATTGGATCCATGGTGTCATCACTCTTGAAGTTCAATTGCTTTGCCTAAGAGGCAACTTCTTCTTTTGTGTACCCTCACAAGTCACAACACCAAGTGAAGTTGCACATCTCAGATCTGGTGGTGAAATGAACGGGTAATGCTTTTTTTATATTTCCTAGCATTGTTATTTGGCAAAACCAGGTTCAAGAACACGGGCCGGCCGCTCCAAACTTCGCCACCACTGCCGTCCTGCCAGCTGCTTCCCCTGTCCGTGCCACTTCTTCCCCATTCTGTCACCATACCATGTGATTCTGCATCGTCACAGTCCAAGAAATCGGTGTCACAGTTCACAAGTAAAACTAGTCACCGTACAAAGCCAAAGAACTATTACATCACCCTTATCCCTCTCAATGCCGCAATTTCCCTTTCAAAGAAAGCTTACAAAGCTCGTACAATATATAGTTCAATGGTGTATACTATTACAAAAAAAGGATTGCAGATTTGCAGAGACAGACAACAATCACCCACGCCACCACACCCCTTCTCTTCTCTCTTGGCCAGACATTTCCCAAAAGAAAACTAAAAACCATCCCCCAAGAATGGCCAAATGGCAAATACAGAGAGATAGAGAGAGGTTTTGTTTTCTCTATTGTGGTATGTGTTTCTTCCTTCATATGTACAAAGAACTGAACTGAACTAAACTCCAATCTGGAGCTGTGTCCTCCTAAGAACCACTTCAAACGTCGAGTTCGGCCACTGGATGACTCGACTGGCTCGGGCTCCCCTGAGACCTCGAGGACTCGGCGATCTTGGCACCCACCTCGGCGATCACAAGCTTAGTCAGCAGCAGACCGGCAACGAAAGCTGCCCCCATCAGCATTGTGAAAACTGCACTCCAGCTCGTTGCGGAGATGTAACCTGTCAGCAATGGTCCAATTGCTGCCCCAACTGACCCTGTTCCATCTATAATGGCTGTCACGGTAGCCAGAGCTCTCGAATTCCCCTTCAACGAGCTATGCGTTCCGAGATCAGCCGAGACTGCTGTTGTAATGAGTGCATAAGGTCCATTCACAAACATTCCGGTAATCAACATGAGGACGATGTTCATCGTCAACGAGACATTGCCATAGCTGCGGTAGAAGTAGAGTGCTGGAATTGCACAGTACATGAATCCTGCGGCGGTAATTGCTCTAGCATTGAGACGGTCCGAAATGTGGCCGGCTAGGATCCCTCCAACCACACCTCCCACATCGAACAGGGTGGACAAGTTGCCTGCTGTACCACTTGAGAGATACTTCCCATCAATTGCTGCAAAAGAACACAAAATTCAATCGCATTGTTAGCACCAAAATTTGTATGCAAATTAGTGAACGATCAAAGTTAGCTTGTTTGGTTCATTGGTTACCTGTGTGGCTAATGTAGAAAGGAAGCCAGTAGAGGAAAGTGTAGGCAACCAATTTGGAGAAGAAAAGGCATAGTGCAAATGGAGCAACTCCAGGGATCTTCCAAGCTTCAATGAACCCAACTGCTTCTTGTTTACCTTTGAAACTCGAGCTCAGCAGAGGCTCAGTGAGCCCCACTTCCTCTCCATTACTCTTCTTCGGAGAGCTCGATTCATCCTCCTCAACTCGGTCAGCTCCAACCGAGGAAGGATTAACCGGCAAGAACAGAAACACAAGCAATCCAACAAAGGCAATCACAAAACCAGGCACAACAAACGACCAACCCCATCCATAGCTCAACATAGCAGCAGCAATCAAAGACCCTGAGATGTTGCCAATCGAAGTATGAGCATTCCAAATCCCCATGATCAAACCTCTCTTCTTCTTCCCACACCAATTCCCCACCACTGCAACAACCGAAGGCCAACCGGTCGATTGGAACAACCCCGCGAGCATTTGAACCGCCAGGAAGTAATAGAAGTTGTGGATGTCTGCCCAATATCCAGCTCCAAAGAGTGAAGTGAACACTCCAGTGCCCACCATTCCAATAGTCAAGAAGATTCTCAAGTTCATCCTGTCACCCAAATGCCCCGAGAAGTACATCCCCATAGCATATACTGCTAGAAACGCGAGATCGACTTCTCCCAGCAAGCCAGTTCCATTGGCGCCGTCGAATGGCGCCCATCCATCACCAAGCGTCCATGGAAGCGTGATGGGTTTTCTTTCAGTTGGCTGGCTCACGTAATTGATCTCCCATAGTTTGGCTGTCGAGCCGAGCTTCGAGGATGCAGGGTCCAGAGCGCTCTTGACAATGCTTGTCGTCTTCCTGGCGGCATGGTAGGCGGCGTATGCTAGAAATGTTACGATCAAGACGATGACTTGGTAGGTTTTGTAGGAAAGAGTGCCTTTTTTTAGCCACTCGAGGAATCTGATTCCGAGGGGCTTTTTCTGAGCTGTTGTCTCGTACCCTGATTCTGGCATTTCGCCCATGAATTATGGCGAAGTTCAATTCACTGTCAGGCGAAGTTATAGCGATCTGTGGATGAGAGAAAATTTACATTTGTTAGACTATGATCAGAGAGGATTGCAATCCGAATTAAGTCGACAATAATTCAATGAAGAGTGAGTTAGAATGATCAATTGAACTAAACATGGACGAAATTCACGGATTTTGAGTAAATTATCTGAAATCCAGAGATATACCTATATAAGGAAAGTGATCAAAACTGTGAAGAGGAAAGCAGGGAGCAATTCTAATGGGAGCAGATAGGACTTGTTAAAGAAGCAGAAAAGCCCAGAAATCTCGTGAACCCAGAACAGGAAATCGAAAACCCAACAAGAAAAAGCAGACGGCTGAAAGATCAAGGTAGGAAAGGCATAAACTTTTTTTTGTTCAACCAATCAGCGAACAAACTCACACGCGCAAACAAGAATACTCTGTCAACAAGCAACCGTTTCGCCGCAAACGAAGACATCCAAAAAAAATTAAGAATTCGCCCAAACGAATTTCACACTTAATCAGCGTGTGAAACGAAGAATTTTAAGACCCCATTGTTGCCAAAGCACATAAGCATAAGACGGAAAGAAAAGGTGAGCGTAATTACCACCGCCTTAGCAGAGCTTTCTCTCCCTCTGCTTTCTCAGTCCTTCCGCAGCTGGTGGATGACTGGTCCTTCGGCGAGCCGTTCCGAGTTCCAATGGGAAACGGAAGAGGAGAAAACGGAAGTTTGGAATCGGAAACAGAAGGAAGAAGAATGGGGAAACGGTGGGTAGGAATTTACTTCCTTTTTTTTTCTTTGCTTTGGGGAAGGGAAAGGAGTGTTTGACGAGGGGAAGCTAGAAAAAGGCTCGCTTGTAGAGCGGTCATTCTGAGACGAGAAGGAAGGGACGGATTCTTAAGGAGGACGTTAATATTATTTTATTCCGCGTAATGCCTATTTTACCCTCGGAGAATCTCTTTCCCATTAATTAGTGGCTGGAGTTCAATTTGGGGTTTAAACTCGTGACGAATTGTCGAGAATACCCTTGACGGCCGGCGGAACGTGTATAACAGCTATGCCCGCATTGTTGACGTCGTCGGCACTCGGCCGGGAAATTAGTTAAAAATTATCGAGCCCAGTTACGGCGTTCGGATTAGCCACGTCACCGAGTAGAATCTTCCAGGAATATTCTCGGATCCTTTTTTTTTTGGGGCTAACAAACTTGGAATATTCCTATTTACGGAATATCCATCCAAGAAAACATCACATAAACCAAGAAGAGAACCCAAGTAAACTAATTGCGCAATTTTGTGGGCGCATTGCTGTAGGTGGTATCTTTGAATTGTTTACTTAGATGTAACTGTATAGAAATAGACACTCTAAATTGGGGGTGTGGAAAGATTCACTTCTTTCATTTCGGGGTTGTTTGGAAGTTGCGATAGTTTTATTGAGATTGTCATTATGTATGTATTGTTTACAATGCATCGTTTTTTTGTTTTTTAAGTAGAAACAATACATGGATTGTTTCTGTGATGTGACAGAAACTATCACTCATTTTGAGTGATTGTTATATCTCAACTTTTAGTTGTGATTGTTGAGATAGTTGAGTTGAGATTGTTTTGTCTCAGCTTTTAGCTAATGCGACATACACAATCACACATACCAAACGTTGTATTCTACAATGCATCAAATTCGACAATACATGTATAATATTATACATGTATTCTCAACAATACATCTATTTAACAATCGCAACTTCCAAACGACCCCTTCATTTTTTTCCTTTTGAATGTGTTATGTACTGGATAGTACTGGACGAGTTTGTCCATTTTGTAATTAGGTAATCACTTTACCCTGTCTGATAGGTGTGTCAACAAAGAATATCCAACTTAAGGATCACATATACACATGATTCCTTGTCGTACGAAGTGAAATCAAGAATTGAAAAATCTAATCACACCGTTCGACAAGAATACATTATATTGGTAGGTGGTATTTAGATGTACGAAACAGTTGAACCACGGTTAAACCACAATTTCAGCATAAAATATCATTATATCGTTGACTTTTCTTGTACAACGTCTAGTACGGTTTTACAATACTTGATTGAACAGTTTCAGCATAAAATATCACACTGCTAACTTTTTTCACTCTAATACTTTGTTGCTCATTTGCATTTATAAACAATACATTTTAGTAATTATCTCAAAATTATAAAATAATTACTTTATGACGAGTTAATTTAAATTACGTGACACACCTCAGATAATTGTAATTTTCTAGAAATGAATCAATTCAAAAATACAGAACCCAAATTGCTCCATCATGTTGCAAAATTTATTCAGTTGAGATTCCCAATCTAAAAACATCTTTCTTCTGAGCAACAATATCTACTCACTTGTTGAACCCCCTTAAAATAATTACCCTGCTAGTGTAACGAAGTGGTTAAGTTAAGTATCATACATGGGTCTGTATAAGATCCAGAATAACCTTCTCCCAACAACTCGAGTTATTGGGATCAACTGGTTCTTCACATGTTATCAGAGCCTTATGTGACCGAAAGGTCTTGTATTTGAATCCCGGTGACCCCGTTTGTGAAGCACGTGGTATCGTGTATTCAAACATGTGCAAACAAAAGCCCTTATGAGATAACTGACTTTCGTTTGAGGATGTGTGTTAGTGAATGATATATGATTCACGATTTAACATCTCCCAACAACTCGAATTATCGGAACCAACTGATTTATGACAGCTATCTCCTTGTATTCACCTTCTCTCCCGTGTCCGGAGTTAGATCACCCAATTCGTTGGGTCAAGCCTCACGTCCCCGCTCCAGAGCGCTGAAAGCGCGGATTCTTTACAAGCCGCTTAAAATTCGCGAATTATTATTTAGCGGAGCGCGACTTCAGATTATTAGAGCGTGAATTTATATTACGACAGCCAAAAAACCATTTTCCGAATGGTGAGCGGTGGGTGAGTGGGAGATCAAGGAAGGTAATGGATAGGAGTAGGCAAGCTTCAAGTTGCCATTGACAACGATGATTGCAGCTTCCTCTTCATAATTGGGAGAGGAGCAAAAGCAGAAGACTGACACCTGTATTCAATTGGAGAAAGAAGAACATTTAACCACTGAAACTCCAGAAATTCGAAGTGCCATCAATAAGATCTGAAGATCAACCCATAAACGGAACGCTAGATTCCATACTCCCAAACTACCATCGATAAGATCGGAGGAACTAACTGAACATCGAGAGTGACGAGATGGGGAAAAGAAGTACAAAATAGTTAGGGATCCTGAGGTCGTGGTTGAGCAGAACAGAGGAACTGAAGAAGGGAAAAGAACAGGGAAAGGGAAACGAATTGAAGAGCGGTAGCTGCTAGGGTTAATTGGTCTTTGGTGTTGTGCCTGTATGCTCTCACCACCACGTGTATTAATTTTTTTTTCTTTTTTTCTTTTTTTTTTTTTTTTTGTCAAAAGATAGGATATATTGATCCAAACAAAGAGATAGTTACATCCTGGAAAACAGCCAGGTCCTGAAATCAAAAGAGCGATTTACAGACGGGTACAAAGAGAGGGCCTTTCTAGCTACCGAATGAGCTACCCTATTGTTCTCCCGACCTACAAACCGCACACTAAACCCTGGATGGGCCCAAAAATACTGGCAAATCTCTTCAAGTATAGCCCCCAGATGACTGTCGCGCGTATCAGCCTGATTAATCTTGTCAATAATGACCTTCGCATCCCCCTCAAACCTGACATCAGACAAGCCGTACTCCAGACACCAGAGGATAGCCTCACGAAGCACTAGCAACTCCACTACCAGTGGCTCATCAATTAGCGCAAACTGCACACCCTTAGCCCGAAGGAGCGTCCACCCTTGATCAAACAGAACCATCCCCCCAGCCGAATGAGACCCCCGCCTAGTGGCCCCATCCCAAAGGCACACCAACCGAGAATCCTCCATTAGGGTCACTGGTTGAATGGACGGGCAGGCCAACCTTGGCGGTCTGTCGACAGGCAACCCCACCCACTCCTCATACTGCTGGTGAAATTGGCGCATTAAAGCCGGAATCCCAAACTGCTTGCCTTCAAAGACAACCCAGTTTCGCGACCGCCAGATCCGCCAAAGGATGGCAACCACCGCCATAAACATCGTCGGCTGATGGACAAGGGCAAGCAGCCGCTTGAGAAACAACGGAAACGTGTGCCGAGGCAAACCCTCCCCCAAATAGTCCAACCCTGAGTAGTCCCAGAGAGCCCTTGCTACCGGACAGTATAGAAACATGTGCTCCATCGTTTCGGGCCCATCCCAGCAAACCGGACAGCGGGGCAACACAGGAACCTTCTTCTCGATAAGAGCCTCAGTGGTTGGCAAAGCCCGATGAAGAATTTGCCAGACAAAGACCTTCAGCTTAGGCGGAATCTTAGCTTCCCACAGCCGGATCCAGCTCGGCCTATCCATCCAACTTACCGAAGCCCGCCACTCACCTTTCCTCCGATCTAGCTCAACCGCCAAATGATAGGCCGTCTTCACCGAAAACACACCGTCAGGAGTACTATGCCAGATCAGCTTATCCTCAACATTCCTCCGCGGCAATGGAATAGTCATAATGGCCCGACAGGTAGCCGGATCAAACCATTGACTAAGCTTGTCTTCGGCCCACCGCCCTTCTCCTTGCCTAATCACGTCGATTTGCCATCGTAACCCCGTCTCCAACAACTGGCGCCCAAACAAGATGCTCTGCCAACCCCAAGAAGGGCGGGAACGAGCTGTCGCCATCATAAAGGTTCCCTGCGGAAAGTACTTCCCTTTGTAAACCTGCGCCAGGAGGGACTGGGGTTCATTGAGAATCCGCCAGCCTATCTTTGCCAATAAGGCCTGATTAAAATGTTCAAAACGACGAAATCCCATCCCTCCATCATGCTTACTCCGGCACAGATTACGCCATGACACCCACCGAATCTTAGGATGGCCCTCCTCAGCTCCCCACCAGAACCGGGCCACGTGTTTATCCAGCAAACGACACAGAGAGAGAGGCATCCGGAAACATGACATTACATGAAGGGGCAAGGCCAAAGCTATCGACTTAATTAAAGTCTCCTTCGCCGCCCAGGACAATGTCTTTTGCTTCCACCCCTGCAGACGCGCCAGCAGTTTCTCTTCTAAATATCGGAAAGTGGCCATTTTGGAGCGGGCAATCAAAGTGGGTAAACCCAAATATTTATCATGGACCCCTACTGCACCAACCCCTAGAATTGCTGCCAAAAACTCTTGATCAGGTAAGGCCACATTCTTACTAAAGCAGACTGCCGACTTCTCCAGATTAACCCGCTGCCCACTCAGCTCTTCATACTCATTCAGCACCACGATCAAATTTTCGCACTCCTGGAGAGAACCTCGCAGAAATAAATAGGAATCATCCGCGAAAAACAAATGCGAGATCCGAGGAGCACGCGGCGCCACCTTCACCCCCTCCAACTTCTTCTCCTCAATCGCCTTCCGAAGAAGCGCCGCAAACCCCTCCGTGCAAAGCACAAACAACAGGGGAGATAGCGGGTCCCCCTGCCTGAGTCCCCGAGAGGAGCTGAAATAGCCAGAGGGAGTTCCATTCATTAGCACTGAAAAAGAAGCGGACTTGAGACATTCCTGTATCCATCCTCGCCAGACCGAGTTAAAACCCATTTTATCCAAAACTGCCAGAAGAAAGGGCCATTCGACTCTATCATAGGCCTTTTCCATGTCAACCTTTAGAGCCATGTACCCCTTCTTCCCCTGCTTCTTTATCTTTAGATAGTGCATTAACTCATGTCCGAGAAGGATGTTATCAATGATTTGCCTGTCTCGAATAAACGCATTCTGGCCCTCAGAAACAATCTGAGGA